CATGGATAGTTAATTAGTACGTATGTGTTCTATATGAACATCAGACATGTTGCACGTACGTTCTTACACGAAATCAGTACTTTAATTTTTCAGTGTAATTTTATAGCACTAATGCAAACGTAGTAAAGCGATAAGCATTGGCAAGAGGTTAGCTTGCTCGATTCGTTACTTTTAATGAACGTTTCAGTCCACAAAATCATTATTGACCACTTAATGAGATGCAGGTTTGCTTAAAGAAATTGAATAAACTTATTAGCCACATGTATTGGAGTCTAGTGTTTTTTATTTATCCAGTCAAAAATCATTTTAGAGTTAATTTGTTATTCTGTTATTTATTTCAAATGGAGATTAGTGAATTCTGTCTTCATTCATAATATTTTGATTTCAAATCGGAATAGCTCTACGTCCCAAGAATAATAAGTTTTGACATGTAATGAAAATATGGATTGTAGTAAATGTGAATAATCAGGTTTGGGTCTGATACATAACGTTCATTGTATTATTAGTTACACTTTCAAATCCTACCAATGTCAACTATACGAATTGAAAATCAGCTAATCTAAAATTGGAAGTGTTTTTATTTTTATGTTATTCATTGGTTCATAAATTTATCAGTCGTAATAATAAAAAAAACCGTTACTTAAATTTACACTTACCAATGCTAGGGTGTCCAGAGTCCATTATGTACCATCTATAGTTAATGAGCAATGAAAATGAATTTCTAATATATGAGCTATAATTACGTTATTAGTTTTAGGTTATTATCTTGCAAATGTAAGCCAGCTGAAAATACATCTTTCATCATGGTTTGATGAAAATTTACTTGAGTGTTAGTTAAGCCGACCTTAATATTGTTGTAATAGTGAGTTTATCTAACTAAGTAATTGTCAACTTCTCATCATATAATTCTACATTCATAACAATTGTTGCTTAATATTTTCACTATGAAAAGCTATAGTAACCATTTTAAGGTCAAAAAGCATTTCGACAACATCAACTGATTTTAATCAGGCATAAATTGAGTTTGGAATCACCGATGGAGTGTGATCATAGTCCTAGAAATCAGTGGGAAGATTCAAACAGGTAATACAGATGAATCAAACTTTACCACTTTACACAGGCCACTGGCTATCTGGACTCAGTATCTAAGTGGATAGCGTAGTGGTGCTTCAGGAGAGTAGTACTGGGTTGAAGTCTCGGAAAGAACACTTACACTGAAATGTAGGCACATCCAATTAACCGGACCTTGATCCCACTGCTAGCTATTATCCATCTCTGTTTATAGTCTTTGTGACTTAAGACAATATTGAGGCTATCCGCACAGCATGCAAATATGTCAAAAATAGACTGTTCAATTTCAGTTCTAAACATCAATTGAAAGATTCAGATGACCAATATAAACGAGTACAATGATTATTTTGCGTAATTTGTAACTAAAATGTTTGAAACAACTGATACTTGTCAAGCAGTGCAAATAGTAAAAATATCGATATGAGAAATCGATTACGAAAGTATTTGAGGAATGTATGTTTCAGACATTCGATAATGGAGACAAAAGATAAACGACGAAAAGGAATGCATGTGAACTGGAGTATCAGATACAGTCAACTCTCAGTAATAATTAGCTCAGTCTTTATAAGCACGAAAGCGATACACGTAAATAAGCAAACACATATGCACCAGCAGACACACATTTATAAAATGTGACCAACGAAGCCCTTGCGTCAATAACGAGTTCACATTTATTAGTGATAGGACAATTAAAAAAATTAGAATAATTTATTTACGCAAAGATTAGAACAAACTACTTATTTCGTGCTAATAGAGATTTATTACAATGCAACCATACGCACAACTCATCAGTTCACGTGAGCGAGGAAATCCAAAGACTGATAATGTAATAGTCACATCTACCTCTTCAGTGATAACGTTTTGTATCAATATGACTGACATGACTGCACGGTGACACTCCTTGGTCAATTGTGTAATCGACTTTCATCAATTCATTCATAGAACTAAATTGCGTCTCTCACAGTTAACGATCCTGTTTAGACAACTTCATCGTGCCATATATTCTTGTTCTGTGCGACTCTTAGTGACTGTGGTAACAATCATCAGTTTTTTACACGTTACTACCGAATGACCAATAAATTAGTGACTTAAAATCATAAATATCTTTGTCTTCGGCTGTACTTCTGCACTCTTTGTGGTGCTGTGAAATAAGGATATACTTTTTAGAAACATTTATACAAGAAAAACCATCAATGACAATGGCAGACATACTGCTTCCAGCCAATAGGTGTATGATCAATTAAACTAACTCGTGATATACCAATTGTGCTACCGCTCTAGTATCATTGTTTCTAATTAATTCGTTATTTGTGCTATTTGTACAAAAAATATCAATCACTTTTCACTGCCATATATTTCAATGTTACATATAAGAGCTGTTTAAAAGCTATATCATTCCTTACTATTATCACCACAAACCATCTTATATCCTTACAAGCTGTACATCATTCTTAATCATGTCAGAAACCTAAGATTCTTGGATTTATCAGTACTTGTTTTTGCCCTATTGGTTTTCATCTCTTTCTTTCGATTTTTCGGCCTACCATCACCAGGGAGATTCTCATGGATCTTTGGATGACCTCCGTTGCGCGACTACCAACGACACATTTGGTAACGACTCAAACGGTTTTTGAATCTGAATAGACATTATTGTATGGTCAGTGAAGTGTCACAGAACCCCAGCCAAGCGATACTTCATGCTTACCGTCCACTCTTCGGATAACAAATAACTAGGTGATGGAGAGTTTGTCAAGCCTCGTCAAGGTCATAGACAAAGAACACTGAATAATCACTTACCCTCCATGCGCAGGCAAGATAGGTTTGTGCTCGATCATAAAGTGTGACTTCTACCCGAAATATGAGGCCCGACGTTTGCCATTCATTTCGGAGGTCACTTACAAATGAATACGGTTATGGAAAACTTTAAATTTGCCAATTGATCAGATCTTGTTTAAGTTATCAAAGTATGCTTACAAACTGGAATAAGCTAGTAAGGTTCTAATAATTATGCCGGAAATTATATTCTAAGATTGGTACGAACCCAACGTTTGTAGCGGCCTTCTGTATAATGCAAACAAATGAACTTGATACAGCTTGCCACCACGAGTGTGACGTCACATTTGATAACAAGAGGAAGTAAAGACAAACTCGGAGGAAATATAAGGCATGACAGACTTCATAAAGGGGGAATTTCAATTTCGCCACTTACTTCAATCGTTTGAAAAAAGTTCGTTGAGAATTTTGAGTGAAATAAACCAAAGTTTTAAGCGAAATATGTCATTCGTATAAATATATGGACCTTTGGGGAAATGAACTGGAGTCAACAATTTTACCAGTTCACTTGGTGCCGACAAATGGGAAAACATACAGCCTGCACTGGCACTATTGATTACTGCGAAACTATCAGAATGCCACCAAATGGCCGAGAAATTTCAAGTTGGAGCAAATCGCGATATCTTGACAAGTCTATCTGCTCACTTACTTAACTGTTACCATTAGAACAAAATAAATTGTTTACTAAAGTCTGAGCAGGAGCGGATTCCGCAAATTGACTGATGACCTCCTGAGCAAGCTGAAGAGTATAATTTAAAGGACTTAAAAAGAATAATGGTCCTTTAATGTTTTATTCACGATACGTATGGCATGCGATAACTCAGGTGATTTGAGGGGGACAATCTTTTAACCTGTTGAGGCAAGATTTAGCTCTGGAACTAACTCAGTCACAACAATAACGTTTCGACTAATGACTAAAAAGCCATGTATAAATTTTGAAAAGGTGAATGAATTAATTAAGATTATAAAGGCCCATGACACTACTGAGAAGTCAACTCGATTCATTAGCGGTGGGAAAACGAGAATAACTAATGGTAGTTGACGGAAAATAACATTATTAACGTAAACATAGTATATATAATTACATCCTATCAGTTAAAACAGCGGTCATCGAAATGGAACTATGAAGCAGACTAAACCAAGCCTACTATGAATTATAGGATCAACAAAGCCTGATAATAATACTTATATCTCTTGGGTGCATGAATCTGAGTGATTGTTTAATTTTTTCGCCGAGATTTTAATTTTGGTTTTGATGTGAACCGTTCGCTCTCATTCATTTCCAACAAATGAAAAAAGACAGTGTTAAAGCGATGTAGTTATGAGTATGAAGTTAGACATTAACACCGTTGGATGCCAGCTCAATGGTCCAGTGGTTAAGTGCTCGCGCGCAAAACCAGTAGGTCCTGGGTTCGAGCCTCGCGTGGTGCGGGATTGTGGATGCGCACTGCTGAGGAGTCCCGTACTAGGGCGAAACGGCTGTCCAGTGCTTCCAGGTTTTCGATGGTGGTCTAGCTTCAATCGACTCATGATTTCAACCTGTGGAATATGATCTCTGTTAACGAGTTCCTTATTTTAGCAAGACTTCGAGATGATTAACCCGTTGTGAACGCAATTAGTGAAATACTACCGGATCGGTGTTGTTGTAAAACAACAAAGTTTTTAACCAGTAAAATGGTTTCCAATCCAACTGCTCAGTGAATAAAGCATAGTCTCTTAACATATTGGTCGACGGTGTTATGTTTGGACAAGGATTAACAAGCAAAAAATCACGACACATAGGGTGTCGGATATTTTTCATTCTACCGCCTTTTAATTTAGTATTCTCATGTTCATCTAACAATTGTTCCTTTAATTTTATTTTGCGACACAATGAAACTTCGCTTTAAAATGACATCTCATTTCTATGTTTCCGTAGAGAGACAGTGGTTCATCAATGCTTTGAAAGTGATCTTTTCATTGTAATGTTGTTAACGGAGCAAAATCCTTAGAACTCGAGTAGTTTGTTTAAGTCTATCAATTAGTTGTACAATTCTAAGGGTCCCCGTCAGCGCTTAGGTTTTAAGTGATGTATAGACCACTGAGATTTTGACCTTATGGCAGCAAAGTCGAAAAGGTTACTGAAAGTTATAGATGGAATACGTTCTTGGAATATTAGCTCGTCTCAACCAAATTCGTCACCAAAGTCAGCCATTGAAATCGACGAGTATTTAAAGAGTGAACATTTCCAAGTTGGAAAGGTAGATATTTATTTTCTGAATGGAAATAATGTCCTCATACTCGTTTTCTATTGATGTCTTTTTTCAGATCTCTGTGCATGGTTTTCCTCACCAACCGACTTGCATCGCTTTTGATCCCGTTCAACGAATTGTTGCTGTTGGAACGAAGTGTGGGTTCATCAGGATGTAAGTTGTTCACATATTATTACATGCTTGGGATAGTTTCGGAAGACCAGGTGTAGACTGTAGCATCTCTCATCCCTCAGCATCTGCTGTCCTTCAAATATTCTTTCTCGTCAACGAGGTAAGTCACTCACATTCAATGCACATATGATAACCTACTGTCACGAGACGTTTTACATGAACAATCTGTATGGGATTCCAAATTTCTTATAAAAGCATGGGCTGTAAATTCTAGACTATAGTCATGCGTAGCTTACAGCATTATATGCGTTTTGTTTGTTTCTTGAACTACCTAGATGTTTGATTTTATGGAAACAAGTTTTCACCTTTTAAATATAACGATAACGCTCATTCTCAGTTCTTATTCAACTTCCACGCATATGCCATAAACCACGTCGCTGAATGTGACCCAAATACTATTTTAAGATCCTTAGTTTATCCCGTATTTCTCAGTAGCAACATTAAGGTTATTAAAGTCTATGTTTAGGAAACAGAAGTTTTACTAGTAGCAGTTTCATAGCTATCGTCCTCATCTTGAGCTATAAGTCATCTTTCAGTTTAAGAAGAGAATTGTACTTTCTCGGTTGTTTCTTATTGTTATGCGCAACAAACAGTAAATTGAACTTGTGGCGAGACTAAAATTTCTGGACGAACTAATCAGATATAAGATAACGAGTCACGAATTTGGCGCGGATTTCATCCATACATTTGGCTGAATGGAGTTTTGGCATTATAGTTCGTGATGAAAACCCTAAGTCTAATTTTTAACCCTTACCATCGACTGTGAATGAGAATTCTAACTGCTTTATAACCGTTATTTAGTCCTAATTGGTAGTTGTTCACCCTCAAGGTCACTTCAGTGTCGCTCAGAGGTCGTCCATAAATTATAGTCTCACCGAACCTGTTCTTGAGGTTCGAGCCTGCATACAGGTGTACTTCATCGTACATGCATGGTTTGAAATAAGTTGTGGTGTCCCTTTCTGTATTGGTTCATTAAATTACGATCATACTGTTACGTTAGTTGCCCTTACCATGTGTTTATTGTTAGTTGGGAGTGAGATAAAACTTAAAATTATATCATAAAACAGCAATTTAAATTCTCATTTTTCTAAAATGGGGATTTTACTTATTTTCAAATCATTTCAAGGGTGGATTGGTTTCCATTTGTGGTGATGACGTTGCACACTTGTGGAACATAAGACAAAAGAATCCAGAAATAGTACACTCTTTACAGTTCAAACGTGAACAGTAAGTTAAATGTGTGTGATGTGCTAACTAGCATATTTATATATTTTACTCATGTTGTAACATTTTGTTTGTAGAATAGCAATAATGTTGATTGTCATATAGTAATTATTTCAAGTAGTCTTTTAATCTTTAGTTTCTATCATCAAGTCGTTTCGTCCCTCCACCTGTTTTTTTACTCCGTGGTCTTTTAGGCATACGTACTAATTGCATAAACGGTTTACTTGAAATTGATCTTAGATTGGCCTATACATTGTTACGTTTACGCAGTTTCTATCATGAAGAGATAGTACAGGTGCAAAAAATGTTGTAGAGCTTAGACTGAAAGCACGAAAACAATAAGTTGGCGGAGTAGTAAAGTGGATGACTGTGTAGGTTGAGATTGATTTCGAATTGTATCACTTAATTTTCTCGAAATACAGTTATGTAGGAACTATTTCTTACGTTCAGACTTCTTTCTAAGCAAGACAGCCCCAGTCTTATTTCGAGAGAGAATCGCGCGTTAGGGTTACATTGTCTGATGAAAGTATCAGCCTACCAAGGTCAACAGTATTTTACTGATATATTTTCTAAACCTTCATAACTTTCCAAGCTGTTAGACCATGTGATAAGACTGAATAATGATTGCCGCTGAAGTTTGAATAGGATGTTTTGCCTTTTACCTAGTTTCAGCTTCAGTTTCATTTATTTGCGTAGACAAGTTGATGGATCATCAGGGACCGTATGAAATGGTTTTACATTGCGCTATAAAAAAGTAAAGAAATAAATATTTCGATCGTATAGGGGAGCTTAAGAGTTACATAGTACTATATCAGTGTTAGATTAGTTTCATGGTCTATATAACTCAGTAAAATTTTGTATGGTCATATTTTTAATTTATGTTCTTGGCTTCAAATGCCGGGGCTCGATTGGTACTATTTGATGATAACAGTGAGTAGCGAGTGTAGTCAGAAGGAATTTGGATTCATCTCACACATATATTTGTACTGTCTGCATTTGCCGGAGTGGTTTTAGTACCTGTAACCGACACCTCTGAGGAATGTAGGATTTAGTCGTCCGACTGTGTTTTAGATGGGTTATCACTAAATCGATAAAATTAAAAAAATAGGGTTATGTTTTGTCGTTAAGTTCACGAAATCTATGATCATCGATGGCGTCGGTTTTGAAGTTTGTTTGATTGGGACTCTTGAGCCGCGCAATTTCTCAAAAGTCAGTCAGAAAAACACATTAAGAAATGTGTATTATTTATCACGGATTGTCTTCAATTTCTGGCAATAAATAATAAGAATAAGAAATGTTTATTAGGATTATTTACTGCCGTAAAGTCAAGACGATCTGTGACAATTGGCGCACATTTCTTAATGTGTTTTTCTGACTGAGTTTTGGGAAATTGAGGGGCTCAAGAGCACCTGTCAAATATACTTCAAAGCCGAAGCCATTGATAATCTTGATGCTTAGAGCATTGTTAATCCCACGCATAACTAGTAAGACATTATAAGAATATTACGTTACGAAGTTTTTGAGTAAGTCTCTTTAGACTTCACATTATCCAGGTCATCAATAAAATGCCCTGGCTTCTATTTATTTATCTCCCATAACATTATTTTGTGTCATGTTTTGGTGCCGTATATGTACCAAGTTTATGTTTTGAATAGACAGTAGATAAAGTATGACTTTTCTCCTGGTCCCCCTCACAGTGCTATTCCCTATACTGCGAGAATCAGTGCTCTTGATTTCATCACAATCCAGTCACCTTTCCTCACGTGGTTGAATCTCAATGAACAAGCATTCCAGCCAGTGTAGCTCGGGTGGGTCGGGTAGTAATTAAACCTGACTACTGCATCAAGTGGCCAGGTATAATTTCTGGTTTAATTTTTTAAATGTAAATCTAGCTGATTTTTATGAATTGTTGCATACACGACAAAAGGTGAACTTGTGGAGGAGGCATACAACCATGACAACAACTATCCGTTATTATATACTGTGTTTTATTCAGTATACTTCAAGAACTTGTCCCTCACATAACGATGTTTGAAGAGGACCTTATTATGAACAACAGTTTTCCGTTGTGCTTTTGACGTCGTTTGAAAAGTTTGCGCAGAAAAAGCACTATTTAGTTCAGTCCAAAATTATGTTCATTTACATTTCTACAATAAAAGCCCCAGCTCCATTTCTTACAACACTAGTCATTTGGTTTGATGTCTAAAAATATGATTCGTTTTTACGTTATATCTCCGTGAACCACCTAGGTAGGAGTGTTAAGTAATTATTTCTCGTCTTTTCAACATTCATATGCTCCTGTGAATGCTGGTGTGACACAATACCTACCACACTAATTATGCTTTCCACTTTGAATATTGAAAGAATACAGGTGTATTATCGTGAGTTAACCGGCGTGGGAACTTAGCTTTGGCATTAACAGACGAATATCTCATCTAAAATCTTTTACTATCTAGCAACTACATTTCTGAAGTATATTAATGTGCTAGCTCACCAAAGAGGTTGATCAAAAACGAGAATGTTTTCGGTTATAACCGGCTGCAGTAAATTCGGCATGATTGTACCTTGAGGTTTTTGTGAAACATTAATTAGTTAGTACTCATTCCAAACCAGTTTTGTCGTCTTACGAACAATCTAAAGATGCTCCTTTCTCTTGTATGCTGATTGTTTCATACAAACCTTGTGCATGTTATTCATAAACACAACACCCGTCAATTCTGTTTTTAGAAACGGTTTGTTTTATTGATTTCATTTAATCAGTAATTGGTTTGTTACTACCATCATGAAGTTTCATAATATTTTTCGCATCTATGTAGTTGTGAAATAGTTTTATATCCTATAGTTTTCCATTTACCGGTGACCACATTTGACGTTATTTTATTTTTTAGTTTTGATAAAATATTTTTGATTTAAGTCAAGTTGTCTGTGTATACAGTATTATCATCATAATGTTATTACTTCAGTTTTTACGTTTCATGTCCGAATTTTTTGGATTCATTACTTTTATGTACCTACACTGTCGAACAGTAGTCCACTATAAACACCACTATTTGGTTATTTAGTGCATAGTTTTTGAGATGATTGTTTTATGTTGTTTCGTACAGACTAATTTTATGAATCCATGAAATGAGTAGTCTCATATAGTGGTGAGGATGCATTTTGGAGTAACTCATTGATTAACCCTTAATTAAATGCTTATCAAAATAATGAAATATTTGCCTTAGTCACTTGGTCAAGTTGTGTTTTAGCAGTAAAAATTACGCTACCATCATATCCCTTTTATTGATTTACTATAAGAATAAACTGTGGGACAAGTTACGATCAGGCAAGGTTTTTGCATAGGATTCTAAATTTTCCCTTAAGAGTGAAATCCTGATTAGACTGTGGCAATTGTGTTTGTCTTACTCATAAATCTCCATAAGTTTTGGCGAAATTTCGGGAAACTTCAGTACGACACTTTATTAATGATTAAAACATTCAGTGTCCACAACTACAAAAATTACAGAAGTCTGTGACAAACATATTGGTGTTCATAGTAGTAGGAAGTCTGATTTTTCCATTTAAACAATTAGATCAGACTGAATGAGTGGTTACATAGTTTCTTTAAAGTGCATGTTGTCTTGTTTCTGGATTCGTGGTGTTAGTCTTCTTTTCAAGAAAGGGTAATCGTGTTTATCAACCTACCTAATCACGGGGTTAGTTAATATGGCCCTATCCATACGGCGAATATACTGCGCAGAGGTCCGTCTGTATGACTGTGAAATATGGTCTATGGATAGGCTTCAGGTTTTCAACCAGAGGTGCATTCGAAGCATTGAGTGAACAATATTATGGTTACTTATGGGGCACTATGAAGAGATATAAACTCGGTTGTCCCAGCTAAAGCAGCTGGGACATTTATTACGTACACCGAACCACTGCCTACCTCGACGGAAAATTTTAACTGGTATTGGAGTAGGAATAAAGCTAGTGGTTGCGAATCAGAATTTATTTATTAAAATAAATGTTGTTACAAATGGTCATCTTAAAATAATCGAGTGGGATTGTAAAAAGACTGGGAAAGTAAGGGGGGTATAATCAAGTAAATAAATAAACAGAGTGAAAATAAAGGAAATCCAATGAAAAAAAACCCACGTTTTTAAAATCATTTTCTCAAGCTGTACTTTCGTATTTATAGTTGTCAGGTAATTATATGAGTATAAGAGGATAGAGAGAGAGATACACCATAAAGTGATCTGAGATTTAAAATATCAAAAGATTGCTTGGCGATCAAGAGGTTAGACAAGAATAAGCAGATGAGGATTATTTACGGGTCAGAAATATGAAAGATGAGTAGGAAAAAATAAAAACGTAAAGGTAATGATAGAAATTAAATAATAATCGTGAAAAGTTATTCTCATCTAACTTCTCAATCGTTAAAGTCTTCTATCCTCTTATACTCCTATATTTATCAAAAATTTCAAATACGAATATACGGCTTAAGAAAATGATTGTATCAGTTATTTTTTTCGCTAAATTCTCTTCACTCTTATTCAATAACACAAAGGGTCGCTTTTATTAACTAAATAAAAAACCAATGAAAGTAGTAAATAATCAGTGATAAGTCTTGCTACCGTCCGGTAAAAAACAACCAGAAAGGACTCTGTTACAAAAGCCATTCATTTTTATACAAAAATTAAGGAAAAATTACAAAAGGTTCGTCCCTGGTTTGTATTCTAACACATGTCTGATAAGTTTTCAAGCTACTAAGTCATACCATCTCTAGGACTCGAACTCGGAAGTCGTGATACAGCTATATGTTCCACTCCTGTACGGTTGTCTTTCATATCCTGGCGCTAGGACATAAACTATATACTTCTCTGGCTTTTCCAACCATTTCCAGCATCGAAAAATAATAGACGGCGCGGGTGCGTCGAGGATGACATGCGTAACACATCCAAGCCGTCGAAGCTTGTGTTTTAAGGTGGTGATATCAAGTAAGTTGTCCTCACTGCACCCAAACA